TATGACTGCTTCTTGAAATCGCACGTACATAGAAAACGATTCGTAAGAGGGAAATTTTGGGATTAAACTCCTGTATAAAATACACAAAATGCCGTAATTGAGCAAAATTAAGTACACGCACCCATACGAGGGTCGCCCAGAGAGTAAATTTTATATTATTTTATATTTTTTAATTAAGTTAAAAGAGATAAATTAAAGCGGTAAAAAGTCAAATTCTGAGAGCTTTCTCCGTTATTAAACTGTTATTATATATGTAGAAGCCCAATATTTTTGAAGTAGAGTAACGCTCCATTTATGAATTCTTCATATTTTTTACAATAATGCAATGTGATTAGGAATCTTACATCATAGTTACTCGATGTACGGTGCGTCGAGAGAAAGGAGCGCTCTATCTAATCATAACCGGCCAAAATGCTAAAAATGAGTTTTGATATCAAAATTAGCTCAAAAAGTTTCTTATCACAAACAAATTTAATTCGTTTTTTTAAAAAAAAAATTAAAACGTCAAGCGTGAAGTATGTTCTATTTTGGTACATTTGAATGTACGGAAATAATGATTCGGCGACTTATCTCGTTAGAAAAAAAATATAGTTAAAAAAATTGTCTCTCATAAATAATAATGAAACAATGAATTAGCTGTATTTTGGTTTCACAAAATCCTACTAAATATGATAGTTCAAGATCGTAATTTTTCATCTGACCAGGCCATGCACCCTTTAACCTGTGCTTTTTATATTATTTTCTTATGCATTTGCACATTGAACTGACGATACAGATATAGCATTTTTAAAAATAAATTGAGGGGTTTGCAGGACAAGGCGCATGAGTGCAGATTTTGAAAAAATTGAGATATTAATGAACTCATCCAAAATTAGTTTGGAAGTATATTCTGGGAAAATTTCACAACCGAAATCCAACTTTAAAGCATCAATAAGTGAGTTTAAACTTCCTTTCTGCCATAAGGCTCCATATAGTTTTGAAACTTTCAACGCGTATCTCTTGAAATAGCAAAAACTCTGCACTTATGCGCCTTGTCCTTTAAGCCCCTTTATTTTACGATTTTAAGTGGAAGTTTGAAACTAGTAATGAAATCTGACAGCCGTATAGTTTTGGTGAAACAAAACCAGTGTTGACTCACGATATCTTCATCACCTTTGCGAACTCGGAGGGTTATTCAGAGACCAACAAAACAGGAAAAAATGACGTGGTTCCTTAATTCTCAGACAATACATACTTGAAGTAGTTCCGTACATCGGGTACGACGTTGACTTCTTATCATGGTCTACTGTATGCAAACGACCCAACGCATGGTTTCCATAAAACTAAAATGATTTGTTGCCTCACGACACACTTTTCGCCTCTATCAGCAGAACATGACATTAATTGGACGTATTTCTGTCAAACGGAACTATTTGCGTCGTGGCGTGAGCCCTGTTATGCATATGTTCTTATGGGTCTCAGAGCTCATGTCTTAATGCACATAGTTCCATTAGGCAGAAATACGTCTGGTTGGCCCACTCTCCTAGCCAAAAATCATGAGGGGACTCGTCATGTTCCACTGTATACACACACCAATAATTCAATTGAAAAGTAATATAATTTCAAAGTGGGTTTCCCAGACATTGAAAAAGTAAAATTTCTAGAGACATTCTCCATTTTTTTTCTCCGCGCATCCTAACTAAGTACAAATTACAATTTAAATAATAGAATGTTTAATTTCATTGATACACGTTGTTTATACACTCTGTTTTGAACTTTTGCATGCGTCTTTTGCAATTTAACGTAGCGTTGGATCTTTCTTTTTAAGAGCAGATTTAAGAAATACTTATTGTATTAGTGACCGATTAATGCTAAGCACATCGAGTATACTTACCAATCACGCATTGTGGACATTGTTGTCCGTCTTATTTCATTTTGACCATGTGTAGAAATGCTATTATTATTACAGTGAGAAAAAGCAAATGTCTGTTGGGTTGTTGTTTACCGACAGCAAATTTCCCTAAATTTGTAATCCCTAAAATATATTTAATGCACATTCCGTAGTGCATTTTGAACTTTTATTTGTATTTGAATGTTTTATAAAATTTCTTACTTTCAAAATTTTCAAGCGGTCTCACTTTCAAAAGAAAAATAGTTATATTCCAGAATGTATTATTTGAATTGCTAGAAAGGCTTTTAGCTGACGGATGGTCATGGTCAATCATAACAAAAGATGAGAAAAACATGACTAAACTGGCGATTTTGCGAACTGGCAATTCTGTTTTCTATGTCCTCCATTTAAATCCATTAAAAATATCGATTTCAGGTGAGGCAAACAGCTTTCAATTGTTTTACATATATTTAAATAGCGGTAAACAGTGTTGCCAACTTGCTACTTTAACCACTGACTAAATATAAAACTGAGAAAATTTTTCCGTCGCATGAGGCTTATTGTTCTACTGATCGAAGAAGTTAAAGAAAAAATTACCCAAAGAAAAAAAATAACAAACAGAATTAAGAACGAAGAAAGGAGACACGAAGAAAATTGTCGGATATCGCTCAGTTGATTACTGTATTTAATGGCTGAATAATAAATGGCTTGAGGTGTGATCATTGTTGAGGTATGTGGACTTTTGTCTACACGTAACGTTCAATGCTATCAAAACACTGTGTTTACTCTAATACTTGTCCATTCAGACCTTTCCACCCCTATCAAAATTTGAGCCGAAATAACGTCGCTTGGCTGACATAAGAGCGTAACTACACATTGAGATGAGCCCGGAAAAGCATTACATTGTATAGAGGACAAGGTTCATTGCAGAGTGTAGTTACACCCTTATGTCAGGTAGGCGACGATAAACGCTCATTGATCTCTTTGCCAAAGCTACTCTGTCGCACAGCGGATCGAGTCAATTAGAGCGGTCGGACATTACATTTTTGACTAAAACTGCAGATATAAATGTTTATTTCGTCACATTTTAAATTTAAAGGGGTGCAAAATGAAGGAAATTTCACGAGAAAATCAAAGAAACCACCTTTGGAACCTCAAAAGTTTGTATAAACGGAGTTAAAAACGTTTAAAGTCTCCAAATTTTGTCCAACCTCTCCTGTTGACTCGGTCCACTGTATGTCGGTACCAAAATTTGTTTCTCCCTATAGAACATCAGCCTAAGGGCCTTAAGGTGGAAACTCCAGCTGTTCAATGCAACGAAATAACTAATTTTAGATTAAAAATATAATTTTCAGCTTCTGATGCCTAAAAATTATTAATACTTAAATGAATATTTGACTGATATTATAAGCATTTGGAATGAATCGTTTCTGAAACTGATTACAACGCTGGCATACTTTATATTTGTGGTTTCCTCAAATTGCAGGTCATCTTATTCTAACTTTCAAATACCTCTAAAAGGGTCAAATAAGGAACCTTTGAGCGTTCTTTGCGTGAAATGATTCAGAGTTAATCCCTCTAAGCTATCAAATTTTTACCTCGTTTCAGTTTTTTCCACCTTCAGGGCCCTTTTGCCTGCCTCTGTCACATATTTTTCTGAATCGTCGAAAGGCCGTCTAAATGCTGAGCTGATGCCAAAGCGGCACAGCGCATCTTTCGCCATTAGTACAAATACATGTAAATTTTTCGAGTCAGGGAATACAATTTCTTTAAAAGAGGAAAGTTAAGATTCAAGATTTACAATAATTTATGTCAAAATGTAAGGGTTGTTTTGATAGTTCTACCGGTGAGAAAATGGAATACTTTGAATCAAACACATGGCAATGTTTCTAAAAATCACGTGTCTTTTAAAATGGCAGTATACTTCAAAGCATAAATTCCGAAAAGCGAACAAAAAGTTATTAAACTTTACGAGCCACGGGGATTTTTTTATTTTATTTTATTTGTGTCTAGTTGAAAAATGCATCGAGTTTTAGTGGCCGTTTATAAAGTGCAAAATACACCTAGGGCAATTTTCACAACGGTCATCTCTATTTATCCTTCTATTAATATGAACTGCAGAGTGCTGGGCAGGGGCTAAGATCTCTTGTTTTCATTGATTTTTATCGACGGAATTTGACTCACAAAAAATTACTTAATTCTCAAACAAATTTTTTATCGTAACATGAAAGGGGCACATTGCATCTATCCCTGAGTTTCTAAAAATATAACTTTTGATGACAATATTGAAAGTAAGATTCAGAAAACTTCAATACACATAGAAAATGGGGCATTTATCTCAAAATATATATGCAGAATTAAACTTCATTAAAATAAAGAGTTGGATAAGCAATTTTTCCCCCTTCATCATTTATAAACGCACTCATAACGTAGTATGTGAACTCCCCTCCCTCCCAAATAATTAAGATCATTTATGAACGGCCCTCGCGACTCTGCTACCAGGCACTCTGCCGTGCTAGGGAAGAACGCCGTATGAACATACGAGAGTTGCCAATTTTCCCCGATTAAATTATGTATTTTGAAAGAAAGTTATGCACATTTTTCCTTGAAATTTTCAGATATATTAGACTAGATTGCGAAATAAATTATCTGAAAAATTGGAGGAAAAATATTAAGAATTTTCCCAGTGAATTCGTCTATTCTTGAAGGAAATATGGCAACGACTGAATGCTCATACGACGTTTTACCTTGGCACGACAGCAATGCACCCACACTGGAAAAAAAAACCACATTAGATTTAGAGTCCAGACTCTTAAAAACATTGACAAGAAAAAATACTCTTGATTCAATCAGATTTTTGCTTAAATCAAAAGGAATCCGCTCAAATTAAGAGGCTTGATTCTTGATTTAAGCAAAAATCCGATTGAATCAAGAGTATTTTTTCTTGTCGATGTTTTTAAGAGTCTGGACTCTTGATCCAATGTGTTTTTTTCCAGTGTTACACCCACCCTCCTATTAACAAAACCTCTTACCTGGAGGAGTTCCCGAACGAAAAAATAAAAACCAACATATTAGAAAACCAAAACATATTTAAATGAACAAAATTGGATCACATTCACAATAATTTAGTACGAAAAATCATCACTTTGGACAGAATGGATGGCAGAGAAGCGTACGTGGCACAAGACAGTCTGCAGTCGGGACTCGCGGTCAGTACGAAAGTGCAAAGTGCACGCACACGGCCAGAAGGGCGAGGGCACCGCAGGTCACGTGATCTGCCCCGGACTGGTCCTCGCCGGACTGGAGGGTCTGGGACCCGGAACCTCCGGTTTGCGGGGGCGCGATCGTGGTTTTGTTCCCGGAGGAACTCGTCGAGTTCTTCGGGCTCTTCGTCACGGTCATGATGGAAGAAGACTCCGGTTTGGTCTTGGGTTTCTCCGTCGAGTTGGGCTTCGAGAGCTGCTGGTCCTGGTGGGTCTCTCCATGACCGTTCGTCTCCGTGTCATCGCTGTCGTCCCCGTCGGA